CTTGGGCAGGAAACGACAGTCTTGTTTGCTTTGAAATCATGCAACTCTCACACACTTGGTTGGGGTGTGTGATCTTAGGCAACCCTATGACCATCTCCTTCTCCCCCATCATTTTGAGCGCATAAAAGTTTACATGCCCAAGTCTCGCATGCCATAACCAAGCCGGATCTGCTAGTGATGCTAATAGAGAAGCAGGTTGGCTTGTCTCGAGGGAAATCTTGTACAACCGATTTGGCGATTTTTCCACCTTCATCAACAGGGCGCCATTTCGATCAAACATCTTCAAGAATGAGCCGACTAAGGTGATCGTGTTGCCTTCTTCTGTCATCTGACCGAGACTTATGATATTACTTTTTAATTTTGGAATGTAATATACCTCGATCATTAGACGTTGATCGCTGTTTTTGCACACAAACAAGATAGTTCCTCGGCCCTTGATCTCGATGAGTGGGCCGTCTCCGAACTCCACATTTATGGTGATCTTCTCGTCGAGCTCATTGAACTTCTCTCGATGGCCTGTCATGTGGTTGCTTGCTCCATTGTCAAGATACCATACGTTGGTGTGATTATACTCCTCGCCATTTGCGAGGAGATTCGCCTTAACTTTTTCTTCATTGAGTAACACCCCCTCTGGTTCCTCCTTGGACGATTCTTGCGTGATCTCTTCGAGATTTTTCTCCTCGTCTTCGGGCAAGGGATTCGTCACTCCCTCGGCAAACATCAACACTGGCTCCTCGTCATGGAGGCTAGTAGTGACTTTTTCTTCATTGAGTAACACCCCCTCTAGTTTCTCCTTGGACGATTCTTACGTGAACTCTTCCAGGTTTGTCTCCTCGTCTTCGAGCAAGGGATTCGTCACTCCCTCGAAAAACATCAACGCTGGCTCCTCATCATGGAGGCTAGTAAGGTTCGCTTCCTCTTCCGGCTTCTTGCTACGACATTCGGACGCGTAGTGTTCGTACTTTTGAACATTGTAACACTTCACTATGCTCTTGTCTTTGCGGGGTTTGATGTCTTCTTATCGAGGTGAGCTTTCTCCACCTCGACCTTGCCCTCGTTCCTGCCCTTTGCCACGACCTCAGTTTTCTCCACCATTACCGCCACTACTCGAAG